AGCTACGTGACTAATTTGTTCCATCCCCTTATTATATTTCCAGTAGGATAGCAGCCTACATGATAAATAACCTATATAATATTGATAGTAACCATCTGGATGGCACCGTGATACTGTCTACTGCCCAATGGGGAGAGTTTGGCTGTAAGCCGGTAGCCCAACGCCACAGGGCGCAGAGTGTCCTTCGCTCGGTCTTGCTGTTCTGTCGTAGCCGGCCGCGACCGGGAGACCCATGGGGCGGCGCACAATTGGCCTAGCGTCGTCCAGGGTAGTGGAGGGAATGGCCGGCAGGGATGTAGCTCAGTTGGTAGAGCATGGCGTTTGCAACGCCAGGGTTGTGGGTTTGATTCCCACGGGGGGCCAGTATAAAATAATAATGTATGCACTCACTAACTGTAAGTCGCTCTGGATAAGAGCGTCTGCTAAATGACTAAAATGTAATGATGTAAATGTTCTGCAGGAGAGGGAAGTAGCTAGATAGTGTAGCCAATATCAGGCCAGTAAGGAGAGGGAAGTAGCTAGATAGTGTAGCCAATATCAGGCCAGGGTGACAGCTAAAGCACATGTATTGTAGTGATTTTCACACAAAAAAATGTATAACTACGGCATTAACATCTACATAAAAAAAAGGAACAGTTACACTGATAAAAACGGAATGATTCTCAACACTCTCCCAAGTCCCAACTTCGGCAGACACATTTCAAATTCTCGATTAAGTTTCTAACCACTAGCTAGCTGGGAAGGGCTCATCAGGATGACTGACAGACCTGACTGAACCCAATCCGTTCATCCCCACCAGGTCCCCACTTAACTCTCGCTGTGCGACATACGTCATCAATTTTGGGCACCAGGCGTGTCTGCATTAGCCTCTCCCGTCTTTGATATCTGAAAATACTGATGCAATATTTACTCCAATATCTTTGTGTTGTTGAGGAATAGTCCCACAGTCTCTCACTGCTGACCTCAGTGTTTTCTGGTTGTCACTCCACACCTGTGTGTAGGCTGTGCCCAGTCAGGGAGTTAACCATTGAACAATGTCAGTTATGAGCGTTTAGAATATTTTTGTCCCAGCCTGCATGGACCTTTGTCCCTCGTGGTCCCTTTATACAGACACTGGATGGACGAACAGCTCAACAATGAGAAGTGCTGCTAGCTGGAATCCCTTCCACAGAGCCAGTACAATGTAGAAAGGCCACTGGCAGAGAGGCCAGCCCTGAGCCTCACAGGGGGAGAGCTGGGATGTTTTCTCCCCTGAAGAGAATGGTAACCAGAGGGGTATAGTATAGAGTATGATCAAGGAGTTAGCCATATTTTTTTGAAAGATAAGCTTGAAATGGGCTTGGTCTAATTGATTCAACAACCAAAAACACACATCTAAGTTCAGCCTTTTTAATGACTAACTCATTGGTCCTACTTTGTAGTATCCCCTTCAGGGTTATCATGGTACATAAAACCTCCTACCCCTACCGACTCATCAGTCAATACATCATACACCTGACCCCTCCTCAGTATCAGTCAATACATCATATAAACCTGACCCCTCCTCAGTATCAGTCAATACATCATACTGGTGTGGTGCAATGTAGTGTAGTGTGGTGAGGTGCAGTGTGGTGAGAAGAGGTGCAGTGCGGTGTGGTGAGGTGAGGTGCAGTGTAGTGTGGTGAGAAGAGGTGAGGTGAGGTGTGGTGAGGTGAGGTGAGGTGAGGTGTGGGTGAGGTGAGGTGAGGTGAGGTGTGGTGAGGTGAGGTGTGGTGTGGTGAGGTGAGGTGAGGTGTGGTGTGGGTGTAGTGAGGTGTGGTGAGGTGTGGTGTGGTGTGGTGAGGTGAGGTGCAGTGTGGTGAGGTTGACGTGTAGTGTGGTGAGGTGCAGTGCAGTGTGGTGAGAAGAGGTGCAGTGAGGTGTAGTGTGGTGTGTAGTGGGAAGGGTAAGGGGATACCTAGTCAGTTGTACAACTGAATGCATTCAACCAAATGTGTCTTCCACGTTAACCTAACCCCTCTGAATCAGAGAGGTGCGGGGGTCTGCCGTAATCGACATCAACATGGGGTGGGGTGGTGTGGGGTGTTGGGTGGTGTTTTGGTGGGTGGTGTGGGTGGTGTGTGGGTGGGTGGGGGTGGTG